CTGCACATCCAGCCATCTCACCTACTGCATCTGATGAAATCAGCCTGCGGCTCCGGAGGTAATCAGCTGATAAAAGTGTGAATGAAATTAATGACATGAAATGATCCTGTGCCTCTGAGCAGGACATACAGAAACCTATAATTATTCATGTGCAGGTGTTTGTTAAACAGGTAACAGAGAGTCATGCTGCTCTGCACTGAGAACTGTGAGACTTTATTAGTACCGACACAGTGCACATGTATGTAGACACAAACTCCATCAAAAGTCTCTACAGCTGTTCGAGCCGACTGACAGCTGATCCAGCTGTGATCAGCTGCTGCCGTCATCCGAAAACAGACGTCGCTTTACGTGATGCTTCAGAGGAAAGGAAGTCTCATGTCTCTAAAAACAAATTTCCTCGTTCCTCGTTCTGTGCCTGTGTGGGAGAGAGAGAGAAAGAGAGAGAACGCTCTGTTACTTTATTCTCAGTTATTTTTACCAAAACTTTGTTCGGGTTGGTGATGGAGCAGTGGATAAGACACCTGCCTTTGGTGTGAGAGAATCACCCTCTGTGACCCATCCACCAATGTGTCCCTGAGCAAGACACTTAACCCCTAGTTGCTCCAGAGGCGTGCGACCTCTGACATATATTCAATTAAATTTTATTCATATAGCGCCAAATCACAACAACAGTTATCTCACAGTGCTTTTCATAAAAGAGCAGGTCTAGACCGTACTCTATGATGTTATTTACAGAAGCCCAACAATTCCCACCAAGAGCAAGCACTAGGCGACAGAGGCAAGGAAAAACTTCCTTTTAAGAGGCAGAAACCTTGAGCAGAACCATGGCTCAGGGTGGGCGGCCATCTGCCTCGATCGGTTGGGGGTGAAGGAGAGAGAGAGAGAGAGAGAGAGAGAGCGCCTACACAGTATACACACAGAGGTACAGAGAGTAAAAGTGATGTTGCTATAGACTAAATGAAAAATGGTATAGCTATGTATAGTAGTGTTAATGATTATAACAATAACAACAATAGGACTAGTAACAATAGTTGTTGTAGCAGAGGGTGTCGAGCAGGAACACGGGGGCAGCAGGTGACCCACAGCCACAGCTCCAGACTCCACAGCTCCAGAGCCAAAAACACCTGCAGGAAGTGATAGGAGGAGAGAGGAGAGGGACGAGAAAGCACAAGACTACCAAAAAGGGGAGAAGTTGTGTTAGTAACATGCATTAATGGGATGAGGTTGCATACAGAGGGAGAGAAAGTAGAGGAGAGAGGAGCTCAGTGCATCATAGGAAATCCCCCGGCAGTCTAGGCCTATAGCAGCATAACTAAGGGATGGTTCAGGACTCACCTGAGCCAGCCCTAACTATAAGCTTTATCAAAGAGGAAAGTCTTAAGCCTACTCTTAAATGTGGAGATGGTGTCTGCCTCCTGAACCCAAACTGGAACCTGGTTCAACAGGAGAGGAGCTTGACAGCTGAACGCTCTGGCTCCTAGTCTACTTTTGGAGACTCTAGGAACCACAATTAACCCTGCATTCTGGGAGTGCAGTGCTCTGGTGGGGTAGTAAGGTACTAAGAGCTCTTTAAGATAAGATGGTGCCTGACCATTAAGAGCTTTGTAGGTAAGAAGAATGAAATAAATTCTATTCAGGATTTTACTGGAAGCCAAGAGAAGCTAAGACAGGAGAAATATGATCTCTTTTCCTGGTTCCTGTCAGAACACGTGCTGCAGCATTCTGGATCAGCTGAAGAGTCTTAATGGAATTTTTCGAGCAGCCTGATAATAAAGAATTGCAGTAATCCAGCCTAGAAGTAACAAATGCATGGACAGGATATTCCTGATTTCCCAATATTACGTAGGTGAAAAAAGGCGATCCTTGAAATTTGCTTAATGTGAGAGTTAAACGACATGTCCTGATCAAAGATAACTCCAAGATTCCTCACAGTGGTGCTGGAGGCCAGGGCGATGCCATCAAGGGAAACTATATCTTTAGATAATGCGTCACGGAGGTGCTTAGGCCCCAGAACAATAACTTCAGTTTTATCTGAGTTTAACATTAGAAAATTACAGGTCATCCAGGTTTTAACATCCTGTAGGCACATTTGAAGTTTAGCTAACTGATGAGTTTCATCTGGCTTGATTGATAGATATAATTGAGCATCATCTGAATAACAATGAAAGTTTATGGAATATTTCCTGATAATATTGCCTAAGGGAAGTATATATAAAGTGAAGAGGATTGGTCCGGGGACAGATCCTTGAGGAACTCCATGACTAACTTTGGCGTGCCTGGAGGACTCATCGTTAACATGTACAAACTGAAATCGATCTGATAAATAGGACTTAAACCAGCTTAGAGCGGTTCCTTTAATGCCAATGAAATGTTCCAGTCTCTGCAATAGGATCTGATTGTCAATGGTATCGAATGCAGCACTAAGATCTAATAAAACCAGTACAGAGACAAGTCCTTTGTCTGATGCAATAAGGAACGTCGTTAGTAATTTTCACCAGTGCTGTCTCTGTGCTATGATGAACTCTAAATCCTGACTGAAAATCCTCAAATAAACTATTGCTCTGTAGAAAGTCACACAGCTGTTTAGCAACTGTTTTCTCAAGGATCTTAGAGAGAAATGGAAGGTTAGATATAGGTCTATAGTTGGCTAAAACATCTGGATCAAGTTTGGGCTTTTTCAGAAGAGGTTTAATTACAGCTACATTAAAGTACTGTGGTACATAGCCTGTTGATAGAGATAGATTGATCATATCTAGTATAGAGGTGCTGACTAAGGGTAAAACTTCTTTAAGCAACCTAGTCGGGATGGGGTCTAAGAGGCAGGTTGATGGTTTAGATGAAGAAATTACTGAAGTTAGTTGGTAAAGATTGAGGGAAGCAAAACAGTCTAAACATATATCTGGTTCTACAGCTGTTTCTAAGGTTCCTGAGTTTAGAGATAAGTCGGTGCCAGTTAAGGGCAGGTCTTGGTGAATTTTGTTTCTAATTGTTAGAATTTTATCATTAAAGAAGCTCATGAAGTCGTAACTACTGAGAGCTATGGGAATACTTGGCTCAATAGAGCTGTGACTCTCTGTCAGCCTGGCTACAGTGCTGAAAAGACACCTGGGGTTGTTCCCATTTTCCTCTATTAATGACGAGTAGTATGCTGCTCTGGCATTACGGAGGGCCTTCCTATATAAGTTTTAAGACTATCTTGCCAAATTAAATGAGAATTTTCCAGTTTGGTGGAACGCCAATTCCTCTCAAGTTTCCGCGATATTTGCTTTAATATGTGAGTTTCAGTACTATACCATCTTTGTTTTATTATTTTCATTTTTAGAGGGGCTACAGAGTCGAGTGTCATTCGCAGCAAGGCTGCAGCACTATCAACAAGATGATCGATTTGGGAGGGACTGAAATTAGCATAGGAGTCCTCCGTTACTTTGTGACTCGCATCCTTAAATTTAGCTACAGCACTATCAGACAGTCTTGTATAGAAAGTTTTGCCCAATGGTGTGTAGTTCAGCAATACAAACTCAAAAGTTATCAAACAGTGGTCAGAGAGGGATTCTGTGGGAACACTATTAAATGTTCAATATAGCAGTATATAGCAGTTGTAAGTCGCTTTGGATAAAAGTGTCAGCTAAATTAATGAATATAATGTAATGTTATGGCTAGGCTAATAGTCCCAAGTGCAGACTTAGAGAGGGAGGAGTTAGATATCCATCCATCCATCCATCGTCAACCACTTATCTTGTGTACAGGGTCGCGGGGGGCTGGAGCCTATCCCAGCTTACATTGGGCAAAAGGCGGGGTACACCCTGGACAGGTCGCCAGTCCATTGCAGGGCCAGGAGTCAGATAAAAGAGGAATATTTATTGAAGGGTAGAGGGGATCGGATATTGAAGAACGAGGTAGAGTGGAAAACTATGCCTGCAGAACCGGGTTGGTTGCTGCTCGGCAGAGCAGGGGGGGAACTGTAGCTTAGAATCCAGAGTTTAAGAGGCTGAGCTGAGCAGGTCCAGAGCACAGTCCGGGAATAGTTTAGCTGGGCAGGGTCCAGGTAGAGCAGACGGGTTGAGCGCTATTTCCAGTAGCAGAACTAAAACATTATTATTTTTACGTTATTGCAAAATTAATTTTTTACTTTCATTATAGCCTACTAAATGTTCTTCTCCTACAGTCAGTCGAATATAATTATTTAAGTTTGTTCATTATGTTGTTGTTTGTTTGTTGTAGCTACAATTTACTTATTAATTTTAAATTTAGGCTATTTTGAGTGTTTTGATCTGTAATGAAAAGAAGCAATTGTAAAATTAATAAACGCTATAACTGCCACACTGCCGTTGTCATCACTCAGTTTAAAGTGCTCCCACACAGCTGAGGACTTCATTTTGTTTTCAAGATATTAATTAAAGCTTGCGGAAGTCGAAATGTGCGTTCACCTCAGTTTGTGCCTAATCGTCTAGTCTAATCGTGCTCACTCGTGGCGTTCTGTTTACTTGCATTCAATCACTCTGCATCTAAAATTAGCTTTGTGTTCTGCCTGAACACACCTTGAGTCTCGTTGACTTATTAGTTTTTAACTTTTATTTTATACTTTTTATTCAAGCAAGGTTTGTCGGAAGCATGGTTAATATTCTTCAAAAAGCTGGTCCAAGTGTCAATATATCTTCTTCCCAAGTGGATGCACTCTGGCTCTGATGACATGTACTGTTGCTCTTTTTCAGCTGGGCTGCTTGTTAATTGGCAGATTTTTGGATTGGGTCTCATTAAATAAATTGGTTAATGTACGTCACTTTCAGGTGGATTTTCCATGGGACTGGCACCAAAACCCAGGTATCATATAGAAACCAGTCTCAAAAATGTTCAAACAATACCTAGCCCTAGCTGTAAGAGACTATGCCAGTGGAGTTTTGTCACCATGGCAGGACACAGAAACATAATTACGTGCTGTGTTGGCTGTCCTAATCCCAGCCCAGGTGGACCTTATGTTGTGTGGGTTTTGTGATTTGTAGGTATGACACTGGTAAAGACGGCTTCATCGACCTGATGGAGCTGAAGCTGATGATGGAGAAGCTGGGAGCACCACAGACCCACCTGGGCCTCAAGAACATGATCAAAGAGGTGGATGAAGACTTTGATGGCAAACTGAGCTTCAGAGAGGTGAGAGTGATTTGATTAGGGATTTGTGTTATTGTTAATGTACTGTTATGGCTTTTAGTGATGCTGCACAAAGTTGGAACCACCTTTTGCCTGATTTCGCGGCATTTTTCCTTTGCAAATGGCGCAAGATCAGTCGTTGTTCTAAGCTCACAGTAAACTCTACCGGAGGTAGATTGTGTTCAACTTGATGGCACTGTTTTTATACCCCGCCCCTGCAGTCGTCCGCAGCTCACGTTAGACTATCAAGTCAGCGAAAGTCAGCTGCAGTCATCTCGAACGCAGGGAAATCCCACTGTGACTGAGGTCTCATTTAGGTGTCCTGTATTACAAGTGCAAAAAAAAGAATACACTTAAACTAGAGGAAAACCATCATCATAGGTTCTGGAAAAGTTCAATATAATTCTTTAGTAGGGAATGAATGGAACTGGGCTGGAATTTGAACTGGAGGTGCAGGTGAGGAGGTGGGTGGGGAAGACCAAGCAACTGCAGAGCAGATGAGTGGATGTGGGAACAGGTGTGTTGATGGGGAGGACAGTCAGGTGATGGGGAAAGTCAGAGGGCAGTTTCACTGTGTTGGTGGGGTCCAGGGGGGCCGGAAACCAGTCAGTATCTGGTGACGCTGTGTGCCATCTGCCCTGTACAGTGAAAACAGGGATTCATCCGTGAAGAGAACGCCTCACTCAAGTCAGTTATGACAATGAACGGCAGTCAGGTCGAGACCCCATGAGGACAATGAGCATGCAGATGAGCTTCCCTGAGACGGTTCCTGACAGTTTGTGCAGAAATTCTTTGGTTATGCAAAGCGATTGTTGCAGCAGTTGGAGGTGAAGATGAGAGATGAACATTAAATTCACAGGCAACAACTTTGGTGCACATTCCTGCAGTCAGCATGCCAATTGCACACTCCCTCAAAACCTGCGAGATCTGTGGCATTGTGCTGTGTGATGGAACTGCACATTTTGGAGTGGCCTTTTATTGTGGCCAGCCTAAGGCACACCTGTGCAATCCCCCATGCTGTCTGATCAGCATCTTGATATGCCACACCTGTGAGGTGGATGGATTATCTCTGCAAAGGAGAAGTGCTCACTAACACAGATTTTGACAGATTTGTGAACAGTATTTGAGAATAATAGGCCTTTTGTGTACATAGAGCACATAGAGTTCAGCTCATGATGAATGGGGGCAAAAACAAAAGTGTTTGTTCAGTGTATGTAGCAAAGATTTGTTTCTCGCCACTGTAGATTCAGGCTGTATGACGACTGAAATCGTCTGTCATCATACAGAAATTGACCTTTTGGAGCTGACTATTGGCAGCCATTTTGGATTTGAACGTCCAAAATAGGTAAGATGATTAAAGCAACAACAATTATGAATTCTTGGATCCACAAAACTTGTACTGTGCATCATTGTAGGACAAACCAATGACAAGATTTCCAACATGACCAATGGTAGCAGTTTGGATTTGTAGCTCTTGCAAAGTTAGTCTGCATTTTCATGAGAGGCAAACCTCAGCTTTCTATGGTCACGGAGTTGCTGAGATGACCCAACTATCAGGCGACATACGCAGTTTGTCACATGAACAGCAAGGAAACAAGTGAATCAACATGTCCTTTACTGAATGTATTTGAACTATCTTACTGCAGTTCCTGCTGATCTTCCGGAGAGCAGCAGCTGGAGAGCTGCAGGAGGAGAGTGGTCTGATGGCTCTGGCCAGACTGTCTGAGATCAATGTCTCCACTGAGGGAGTGATGGGGGCCAAAGACTTCTTTGAGGCCAAGGTACTTTGTTTGCACTGTAATGTACTCACTATGACATTTACACCTTCAGAAACAATATTGTTGGCATGTTAAACATTATGACTTATAACTTATATAGTGTTGGTTGTCATTTCATCATGGTCAGCATTTTCTTCACTCATTTCTAGACACAAAGGGCCAAACATCACACAAATACAAATTTTATTGCAGTGCACAGGACTGTGCTTTTTATATTGCAAACATTTTAGATGTGTAAACTCTGGCCAGGAACAAAGGTCCCCAGTCTTAGTCAAGTCCAAGGAGCTCTCATAGGCCTCCAAAATAAAGTTGAGCTGTGGCATAGATCTCGTGAGGACAACAGTGGCCTTCATTGTTCTCTTTCAACGGGGTCTGTAGCTCATTTCAACAACAAGAGCTGCTCTCAGACAAGGTAAGTGTTTACATGAATAGTCTGGAACATGCGCAGCAAAAAAACATATGAAATTAAAACCATTCAGAATTTTTAATCCGTTAAACAGGCCACAAGGCCTGGTCCTAGACTATATGTAAGGCAGAAAAAAGCAGCCATGCAGGGCTACTTGGGATTTAAGAATGATTTGTGTTGGATGATGGGAAGGAACACTGTCCTTTTGTGTGTTACCAGATGCATGCTGTGTCTCTGGGCAGCAAGTTTGAGGCTGAGATTCGAGAGGAAAAAGAAGAACGCAAGAGACAGGAAGTGGAAAAAAAACAGAGACAAGCCGCCTTCAAGCAGCTGCAGTCCACCTTCTGCTCATGACCATCAGGGGGCAGATAACAATGCACAGTCAGTGTTGGTGAGATTTTAGAAATAGCTTCACACTCAACGTATACTTTAACAAATATCATTGCTCGGAATTTGACACTTTATAATAAAAATAGAAAAATACTTCAAAGTAAATACTCACTCAATACTTGAAAATACCTGCCTCATAGGCAAGGTTTGTTCACAACAGACTTTCTGCAGCTGCTCCACAGAACACAGTAAGGCAAAACACTACTTCAGATTTGGTAGGAAATATTTACTAAACTCTCATCATTGATTTAATGTGCATTCCATTGGGGTTTTTTGTGTGTGTCCCTCTGTGCTAGATCTCATTTTGAACTTGTTTAAGCTAAGTGAAGCTGTGTTGAGTGTGTTCTGCATTTGTTTGTAAGGCGTTTTTCATTTCATGTTACAGTTTGGTCATGGTTTGTGTCAAATGATCTTGTGTCATCCTCACCTTCTTAACACTGTTACCATGGGTGTAATTAAATATCTCCTCTTTAATAGAAACAGTATAGTAATAGATAATCGTATGAATAACTGTATCATAATAGTATTGTAAAAGTAGATATCAGACCATTCTCATGTCTGTCTGTTTACTGAGTGGATGTGGTTAGCCCATCTTAGCATAAAGACAGGAATAAGGAGGAAACAGCTAGCCCAGCTCCATGTTGTATGTCATTTGTTCAATCCATACACAAACAGAAATGTAAAAATGCTTTGTGGTTTTAGTTTCATTTGTGTGGTGGAATAGTTTTACATCTGTAGTTCCAGTATGTAACTCCCCCAAAACCACACATTTCAGTTTTCCATTTGTAAATGAACAAGTTTAAAAGGTGTATTTTTATATTTTTATTTTTTGGACAGAGTCAGCTTCCCTCTGCTTTCAGTCTTAACCTCATCCTGAAATATTCCTCTTCTCATCTCACTCAGAAAGAGAGCAAATATAAACATAGCTAAATTCTCATTACCCCAGCAATCAGACAGTGGATAAGTTGTCATGTGAATTCAAGTATGGTGTTCTTTAATATTTTTCAAGAGCATGCAAGGCATGCAGTGCAAGTGTATTATATTGTCTAGAGATTCTAATATATTTTACACCAATTTAGCTTATTTTCCATGGAAAATAGATTAATATTAGTATGTCCTTCCATCCTGTATGCATAACAAGTAACTGAAACTGGATTCCAGCCCCAATGTTTGGAGTCATAGACAGGAAATAGCAGTCAGGCTTCAGGTGGTCTACCTCTAATACCGAGTAGACATGTGATCTTGTCTTATTGTAGGTATGATAAGGATTCTTCATCTGATTCAATTGCAGATGCAAGTGATATCTTTTGGAGTGGCGTTGTTTGCTGGATTGCTAATGAGTAGCCAGCATTGATTGTTTGGTGACATTAGAATTTATATTTGTGTTTATGAGTGTTCATTTTAGGAGAGCCCCCCTAATAGTCATTCATTCATTAGGGGTGCAACAAAGGTTGATGATTAAATTAGTTGCCAACGAATTATTGATTAGTTCATGACGTCATTGAGCAGTAGTGACACCATAAGCTTGCTGAGTGAAGTGAACAGTGAAGTTAGTAAATCAACATACGCGATGGTATTAAAGAGGTGGTATTATGCTCATTTTCAGGTTCAAAATCTTAATTAGGGGTTGTACCAGAACAGGTTTACATGGTTTAATTTTCATACTGCACATTGCTGCAGCTCCTCTTTTCACCCTATGTGTTGTACGCTCCGCTCTTGAGCTACAGAGTGATGCATCTTACTTGTACAAAATCTTTGTTGGGAGTTGCACATGCACAGTTCCCCAGATAAGGACTACAAGCCAATCAGAAGCAGAGAAGGGCGGGTCGTAAGAAACAAGGTAGTGTGATCCAAATCAAAGCCGCTTCAGACTGCGACCGTAACCTAGCAGATGGTATGAGTTACTCTCAAGTCCACAACATCATTGTTCCACATCTTACCTTAAACCACTACAAAAATCACCATATTTCAACTCAGTTTTACATAAAAATTGGCCAAAAAATTTTAACGTTTGCTCAGTAGCTTTCACATTAGGTGTAATATTAGCATTATAGCTATAACTTTAGCTGTGTTAGCCAACGTTTACAACAACTCCGCACTTGAACAGTCTGTGAAGTTACATTGACGTGTTTATTTTAAATATAATTCACAACCAATAAAGCATACTTACAGGTTGTGATTGTGAATTTCCAGGCCCAAACAGAGTTGGAGTTGCATCGTCTTTTAGGACTAAACGTTGAACTGTTGCCGATGTTCTGACGATCTATGCTGCCTTGCCGAAAAATGCTACCATAGCGCAAATTGATAGACTCGACTCTACTCGGCCCTGGTCCGTTTTCCATTGCAGACAGTACCCAGAGATAGTATGTAGCTGGTCGTCATAACGACGCCACACACAACTGCCAAGACGTAATGTTCAATGCGACACACACACCAGCGATCCACACAGCTTTCTTAGTTAAAACGTTTGAACATTCCTCAGAATGTAAAGACATGAAAGCGGTATGAAAACCTTCCAGCTATGTTTTCCTCTGCTGTTGTTGCTGCAATGGTCTGTGTGACTGCGGGAGCAGAGGGCTCTGTGAGCGGGCGGCTGGCCGGCCTCACACGCTCCTCCCGTGGGTTGGCACAGGCTTCCCCCGCAGCTCCTCAACTCCAAAAATATTCAAGCACATTTTTGTTCCGCCATATTTCCGCCAATATTCGAAATCTACACAGTTCATTTCTCAGCTCAAAACTTCTCAGAAGTGGATTTAGTGATGAAATTCCATACAAAAACTGTAAAATATAAAACTTTCTGTTACTCGCCTCTGTCTGGTGCAGCAATGATGATGCAGTGAATAGTGAATATTCTCTCTGACCAATCAGCTGTCTGTCTGTTTTCACGTTACATTTTAGTATCCCTCAGCTCGCTTGGAACCTCGAGGGAAGCTTTATGACGCATTTTCATTGTGACGTCACAAGTAAAGGAAGTGAAGGGCTGGACTACAAACGAGCTGTTTTCAAGCGGTTCAGAGCAGAGCTTTCTGTGGGAGATAGGAACTCCCTTTGGGCTGGACTTTGGGCTTTTTCACTTTGCAAACCTGTTACATGCACAAAAAAGATATATAACTTAATAAAAGGAGAGGGGAAAAGCCAAAAAGCAGAATACCACCTCTTTAACTAGAAGTAACTCTCTGCTCTGCTCACCTGCCATTCACTGGTCCTGTGCCGAGCTGTGCATGTCCGCCAACTTGCAGAGAAGTGCGTGCACGTCGCAGCTCCTTGCGGGTCTATTCCAAGTACTGTTTAAAAATGACATAATATTCTTTGTGTGGTTTATCTATGGTGATAAATCATTTGAATGTCCTGCAAATTTCACACATCTCTGCACATCACCGGTGCTGCTTTGCTCTGTCTCTCTCCCCTCTTCTACCACACACACACGTTAAGCCACACATACCCACCAGGGCTCGAATATAATGGTAGCCCTAAAAAGTAACGTCGGGAACTAGCAACTCACTGGCCAAAACTATTAGTATTTAAAAAATGAGGGACAAAAAATTTATGTGTATTAGAAACTCAACAACCTGTTTTGCAACTCTTGGCATGCACGGTTGGCCAATCAAGAGTTGTAGCGACGTGACGAGAGGTTGTCAAATGTTATTTATCTAATCTCAATCAAGCGGCAACCTCTGGGTCTGAAAGTGAAACCACACAGACGGAACGTTAACCTGCATTCTGTCTAACGGTCAGCAGGGGGCGAGTCTGCTGGTTGCAAAATATGTCCGGCTCCATCAGAAATAACGGTAAAATGTTGCTACTTCTCAGCTGAATTATTATCTCAGTAAACATTTTCCTAATGAGTTTATGGTCTCAGTTGCGAGTTTCAAGTCATCTTCAACACAACATGATGTTCATTTAGTAAATTATGGTCCCATTTAGAGGAACATAGACGACAAAGCAGCGTATGCTTTAAGGCAGGACTACCTTGTGATTGACAATTCACTACCATGGCAACCTGTCAATCAGGATAGAAGCGACTTGTATCACTTATGTCAGCAGGAGAGAGAGCACGTCATGTTTGAGTCTGTTAGTATGTTTTGTTTTAAAAGTAAATTGTTTTGTTAACTATTACCTTTTTTGTAATTTTAACTGTGATTACATTTTAGTTTTGTTTTATATCCAGGATATATTTAATGTTGTATGCATGTTAACAGAATAACATAACTTATAAGTCTTTGGTTTTGTTGTAACACTGATAAATTACAACTTTTGGAGGGAGGGACAGTAAAATTGTCTTGGGGCCAGTAAGTTTCAAACCCACTGGCCCAGACCTCAAGGGTTAGGGTTATAATTTTGAATTTATTCACACATTTTAAAAATATTTATTAAAAGATCCTTTCTTTTCACATGTTTATTTACAGGAAAATGTTAATATGTATATCATAAGCTGGATATTGAGTTTTGGGAGGAAACCGGTAGTTCTTTATAAAATCAGACGTTGAGCACCCCCATATAGCCAAAATGGTATGATCCTCGTTTCATAACGGCTCTGCGAAGATTCGACAGAGAGACTGGGCCTATCGAATCATCAATTCTTCGACCATTCGGGATCACCCCTAAAGAACACCGGATAATTTCACACTTTCTAAATGGCACTTCTCCTGTTTATGCGTGAGGTAGCAGCTTATTCGCTCTCTTTAAGATTTGTGAGGTGTTAAATCAGGAGAACCAGCAGTAGGCTACTTTAGTCACTAGATAAATGAGATGCCTTGTTAAAAGCAGTTCAGCTGCTCAGATGAGTGCAACACTGTTTCACACAGTGATTTTTGTTTGGTCCATGGCAGGACCTTTCTGTTGCTGCAGCAGAAACGTTCATTAAAAGATGTATTTTTGAATGCAGTATTCATTTTTCTTATCTTGATTGTTAATTAGCACATGCATGAAACAACCTCAAGCTTAAGTTTAAAGCTGATAGCTAAAGGCATTGTGTAATTTTGCTATTCATAATCTGAACAGTCCATTATTCATTTCAATAATAGATACATTGACTATCAAAGTAGTTGTTAGTTGCAGCCCTAGTTTTCATTGGTCAAATCAAAAATGTCAAACATCTGCGCCTTGTCCTTAGGGCTGGGACAAAAGAATTAGGGGATTGTTGCAACATTTTCTCTTGTGACAGTTAATGACGCACTAATGCTAACTGTATGCTCTGCCATTAGCTAGTTAGGAGGAAGAGATTTTTAGACCCGGGGCGAGGGACCTAGCGGGGAATGCTGCCAGGGAGCGGAACTCAAACGATGAGCAGTTTTAATCACCCAATGCAGAGCCCTCCTGTCCTGCACATCCCATGCCAGTTTAGGGCTGTGCGATATGACGATATATATAGTTTGACGATAGAAAAATGTCTATGGTTTACTTCTACTTCATCGCGGTCCATTCTCACTGGTGTACTTACTGGTGTTGCAGGCCAGAAATTTGCATTCAGAATAAACAAATGTGGAGGAGAGTGAAGTTTACTCAGAAATGGGTAATACTGGACAGGAGGACTCGGACCATGCAAGCAAAAACGAGGAGCTCATACCTAAGAGAGAAGTCTGTTCCAGCCATGATTTGTGTGTCAGGTAATGTTAAATGACTTGCCCGAGGACCTACAGCTCACTTGCTAGTTCACCAAGACGTGCTGTTGTTGTGTTCACCATTGGGATATAAAATGACTTATATCGGGATATGAAGTTTTAGTCATAGTCGCACAGCCCTATGCCAGTTAGTGATGTTTGCAGTAGGGATGCTTTCTATTGCTCTGTAAAAGTTAAAAAGAACTTCTTGTGTTTCCTTAAAGGTTAAGTGTGTAAGTTTCAGTGACATCTAGTGGTGGGGGTTGCGAATTGCCTCATCCAAGCGCGTAAGATAGCTACATTAGCATACACAGGACAAAAGACAGTAACCAGTCAAGAAGAAAATATATTTTACTTATTCAGTAAACCATTTATTGCAAATATTATTGTTAGTTGTTCAAACAACAGCAACATCAATAAATGAAGCGCTACATGATGTGCCATACTCTTGTATTACATTATTATATCATGCATTTTGTTTCATCTTGGGAGGGTTGGCTCATCTGGACTAACATACCAAGGTAAATTAAGAACATCTCAAACACTATCACATCTAGTGCTTCAGGTATGACCACTGACAGATAACAGGACAATGTAAGCCTCACTGTTTCTGCACCACAGTCCATTATAAACCACATAATACATGAGGTTTACAAAGGCATAGTCAGGTGAGGATCAAGGCTCCCCTCTATACGGTCTTGTTATCATAACGCTGTTAGCAGTAAAGTGTTTTCCACCAGAGCAGTAAAATGTGACGTTTAGCTGGCTGATCTGAACTTCCATGATGTACCATTTTATTTCCAATAATAATCAGCTGATTGTCTCACAAATGTAATTGACGCATTTTTGTACAGGTAACAAAACCAAGACACAGTGACAATCCAACTAAATATTTTTTCTACCAGGGCAGTAAATGTTTAGCTGGTTTACCTGAACTTCCATGCTGCAACAACCTAGTGAAGAAACACACTCTGTAGCGCTGTTTGTCCGTTTTTGCCGCAACATGGTGACCTCTATGTAAGGGGGGACCCGCTGTTATGTAGATCGGTAATAAAAACATAACGGCTCATGTAAGGTCTTTATACACCACTGAAAATATAGTTATGCTTAAATTGCATTTCTGTCAAATCCTCAGAAATATTACACACTGGACCTTTAAGAAATACAGTCATTTATGAGCTTTCCTCACCATCGTGGAGATGTGCGATGACCATGTCAGGTTCTCTGTGATGATGATTCCCAGGAACCTGAGACTGTTCACCTGCTCCACCTCAGCTCCGCTGATGTAGCCAGGAGTGTGTGTCTTTGCCTCCTTTTTTCTAAAATCAATGATCAGCTCCTTAGTTTTGCTGATGTTAAGCAGTAGGTTGTTCTCTGTGCACCACTGTGTGTGAGCTTATGTAAGAAATATCCAGTTTCAGAGTTCTTTCAAGTCGACATTTTACCACTGAATATATCAGAAGGGGTCTAATAACTGTCCCAGTCTCAAGGCACTGTGATGATCTCAGTCTGTTACGATGTACTGATCACCTAGTACAGGATTTGTCCTTCGTCTTTCCCCTAAAAAAGGATCCAGTTGTGGATTGCTACGGCAATGCTGGAATCAGGATGTCGTTAGCTGAGCTTAGCATAAAGCAAGGAATCAGGTAGAAACAGCTAGCCTGGCTGCATCCAAACTGATGAAATATACTACCAACACCCCTAAAGCTCACAACACTGTTTGTGTGCAGATTAAACAATGTTAAACACATTTTGTGGTTTAAGGGGCAGTTATCTTGTATGTTATGTTGAAATGAAATTGTTGGTGCAGTGACTGTACAGAGCATACATATCATCACAGCGAGTTTTGGGAGTGGCCAAAACCAAAACCTGTTCTTACCGACTGCCTAGCAGTCTGCAGTCTAGCCGGGCAGAAGGATAAATTTTTTGGTCATCAAAAATTGTTCTAGCTTGTAACTGCCCCTAAAATATATACAAATTAAACGAAGATACTACATGGTAATCTGTGAGCTTTTGAGGTGTTGGTAGGTGTGCTTCTGACAGAGCCAGACTAGCTGTTTCCCCCTTATGCTAAGCTGGGCTATCCATGGCTCTTCACACACTGACCTGAAATTGATATCAATCTCCTCATCTCATTCTCACAAGGAAAGACAGAAAGTCAGCAGTAGCTCTGTTTGGGCCTTCTGGGATTCTCTAATAAGAATGCAGTCCACTTTCCTCAGTGAGAAAACCCTATACCCCACTCTGGGTGCTGCAGTTTTTTCTTGACATTAGTGTGCAATGTTACTAAACTTTAGAGGGACTGTGCCACGAATAACACCACAACCGCATACGCCAAACCTAAAACAAGTTCACATCCAGAACCTGCTCTATTCTGCACCATTCAACAGCTAACTTTGTTAGAGATTGCCAGCCTTGGGGATAGTCCATTTGGGGCTGATGTACTGTATTGATATTGAACAGATTAAAAGTAAGGAAATGAATCAATAATATACAGCATAATAAAACTGAATATATTATATGTATAACATTATACATTCTTATTATATAGGGATCTTTATCCCTAACCCATCTGACAGCTATTTGACAACTTTGGTATAAATTTTAGCTGAAAAAGCTGAAAAAGAAAATGAAGGGAGCCCTAAAAAACTGAGAACCCCTGACCTATGCAGTGCTTATTGTTATTGGTCCATTTAATCTGTAGTAATGTTTTTAAGTTATAGCATGTTCAAATTGTCTTTACAATCCACAGTATGTGTCACATACCTTCTTTGATATTTGTTGTGGAACTTGACAATGTATTTTTCCATATACAAAATAGTATATAGTTATTTGTTTTAGAAGAGACTTATAATTTGCCAAATATTAAAAGGGGCAGTGAAATATATTTTTTGGCATTTGTAAAGATTTTGTGTTGTTATACTCTCTATTAAAATGTAATCGTTTAACTTGGGTGCAATAAAGGATAAAAAAATATATATACTGAATGCATCTGACTCATGAAGGAGGCTTCGTGGCATTATTGGGAAATCATACACCATTCCACTAAACCATTTTTTCTCTGTTAAATGGTTTTTGGGGCACGTTTTTTATTTAATTTTATCAAATTGAGGGTCTAAGGACAGGGTTTTGTGATTTCTGAAATTGGTCTATATAAATAAAACTGATTTGATTTGACTTGATTGTTTACAAGTTCTAAAGAAATGAACTATAAGCAGTGTAAGAAAGCAATAACATTCGAGGGAGCTGGTTTTGAGCGTGTGTTTGAAAGGTTGTCAGTCAACAGCAGGATCCAAGGATCCAGGATTATACCTTAAAGACAATGACCAAATGGACGTTACTCATTTAAAGATGATTTCAGTTAAGAAGAGTATAGTCTCGACCTGCTTTATATGAAAAGTGCATTGACAACTTTTGTTATGAATTAGCACTATTTAAATAAAATAAAATAAAATCCAAACCATAGATGAGTAGTAAAGCCTTAAAACAGTAGGGAGAAGCGCACGTCCTCCATGCAGTACTACATCTGTAGTCAATACGGTAACTTTGATGGAGTTCATGAGTCCACAAACTTGTTTAGAAAATATTTATTTCATGTAATGTACACTGTACAAAGGGACTGGAGCATATGAGATACATTGAGATCTCCTTCACCATCCTTCACAATCACATTTTGTGGAACATGTCCTCTCTTATGTCTGAAATTGCTACATGATTTCTTTTAAACCACATAGATAACAAAGTGATTCAGCCTTTTATACTCCAGATACAAACATTTTCTACAACATTTCAACTTCTTTCTAACTGTCTTTGTTATATCTAGAGACATTTATTATTATACAAATTGAACATAATACATTAATTTCTGCTTTGCATACTGATTTAGGCAATGATTTTTCAAAATAAAGGCATTCATCTACAAATCAATCAGCAGTCAGTATCATTCAATCAGTCACTACTGAGGCATGTGTCATTTCTTGCTCTAATGTTAGATAACTCACTTTAAGACATTGATGTATTTGATCCAAAAGGCTTCCGATGAGTAACCTTAGCAGCTTAATATAGACAAGGGAATAACAACCATCTGATGTTTTGTTGTGATTGTCAGTTCATGTTGATGGTCTACAGTGTAATCCTTCAGTTCTGATGTTAGTCCACAAACATCATTAGAGGAAAATGTTGATCAGCAACATGAATGCGCTTTTATAGAGATGACAGAAGAGTCACTCTGTCCCTTCCTTATTAGTCCTAATTGCTCTTTCAATGCTTTCAATATACCTGCCATACCTACTAATTCCATTATTCAGTTATAGAGGGCTGGTTCTGAGGCTTGTTAACTTAAAATGATCTTCTGTGCCAAAAGTAATTCTCTCACAAAGTGTAAAATATTCACTTCAGTTCCAGGCAGCCACTGGCTTCTGTTTGCTTCAGTATGCTATGATTCACATGTAACACTGCTTACTGATTACTACATAGCACCACAACTTTGACTACAATGAAAGGAGACATGATGTTTTTCATAGTGAAGTGAAATGAAGGTACAAATAACACATTCATCAATGGAAAACATTATGGTGTCATGGTCCTCTAAATGTGACCAGAGTGGGCGTGGTCAGCAGTGAAGGAACTGTGGAGCATCCATCCACCCAACCGTTATGTATCTTGCCTCTCACCCAAAGTCAGCTGGAATCAGCTCCAGGCTGACTTTGGGTGAGAGGCAAGATACACCCTGTCCAGCTCACCAGTCAATTACACGACTGACACAAAGAGACAGAACGATTCACACGTCCAGGCAATTTTTGAGTCACTAACTGGACTTGGACAGAGAGGAAACCCGTGCGGCTTGGGAACAACAAGCAAACTCCACAAAGCCAGGTTAGAACCCAGAACCTCTTTGCTAACAACTGCAAAGTGTGACATAATGTGCTGCTTACAGAAGTTAGAAAATGGAAATGGTTATGACAACCCCCAACACCATCTGCCTGGTGCCAACCCTGTTATTTCCATTCATCATTACTATTCATCATAATTGGTCCTAACCTTTAGTTAGTCTGCAGCAATACCTGATAACCTATAGGCAGATATTTATTAGATTTGAATGTGGTTGGATTTGAATATATGGTTTAATTTGGAATTTAATCCATGTTCCTTACTTGTGAATATGAAGTTTGGAAAATTTGTTGTTTGTGAAACTGAATTGATAAAACAAATTTCAATAAATTCAGGTATACATATTTCAAGTTCAAGCTGTGGTGGCACAATGCATTTCAAGTTCACTTTTCAAAGTCAGATTCATCTACACCCAGGGACTGAGAACATTGTGCAAACTGTTTTCATTCATTCTTCATGTGTAAATGTTTTATGTGATCATGGCATCTTTCAAATTATTGTCAACAAAGTCAGAAACACTCAAATACAATAAAGTTTACATTTTTCTTAAAGCTACATACATTTTTTTGTCACTCAAGTACAGAAGAACAATTTGACAACTGTCACATATTAACAAATCAGAGCAACATAATCATTCATGGAGAATGGTGTTTGTGTCGACCTGATGAAGTCCAATATTCTCTGTCTTTTAGCTCTTTCTTGGTCTCCACCAACTCCTGAAGAAAATATTAGCCTCTAGCAGCTAAATGGTCCACTATGTTTACCAGCTAGCTTCTAATTGTGTCTGTTTGCTGCTGTGCGCTGCACAGTTGGAGCTTTTTTTGCTGACAGCTGCCTGCTGCTGCTGGAAACCAGGTTGATAAGAATGGAGGAAGTGAACCAAACACCAAATATGCCGTGAAACATGAACAGAAAATGGAGTTGGTGATTATTCTCTGTGGGTCCATCACTATGAATACTATTTTACACATTGACATTTGATTCAGTGTTATAATAAAATATTGATTACTGGAACTGAATTTGAAATTGATTGTGCCACCACAAATAAACAAAATATTTTCAAATATAGCTTGATCATACTCAATCCAGTTACAAAACCTCACACGAAAAGTAAGAATGACGAAATGCTTATTAATTTAGATAAAATTTAAAAGAAAACTGCAGTTTATTACAACTTTATGACCATGTTTTTTTCCACTAGGTACGATAATGTTCTATTCAGCATAGTAACTGTGGATGTCTCAGAAGGCACATTGCTGAAATTAGCTCTAACACTGCAAAATACTACTATAGCAGTCAGATGACCAGTAACCAACAGGTTAAGACAAATTAGCTCCCACTTTGTTTTAAGGTGAAACCAAAAGTGAGCACACCTATAATGTGCCTAATTGTGGGATAACCCACATGGTGGCTCAAAGCTGAAGCAGAAAGTGGGTCTATAAAGTGTAACAGATCTTAATATAAATAATATAATAAGAATAATATAATTTTACCATTCTCTTGTTGTATGTGTGGAGTTTTGTTTCAAACGTGCCTGATCGTCTGACTGCTTGTGTAGCTATGTAGCCATGTTCTCAGATCTCAGCTATTAACTTTGTGAGTATGGTATCATAGCGTTGTTATAACCGATAGAACCAATGGGCAACTTGTAGAAAACTATTTATTCACACTGAATTTTCAGAAACTGTGCCCTCTGCTGGCCAGGTACTCCAACCAACACTACTGCATATATTGAGCGGTGGGAAGCCAGTGGCAGGTAAGACCCTGGTTGTTGCACTAGAAATCCCTAGACTAGGAAGGAGTCCCTAGTGCAACATTCCAAGTGATTGAAGGGAGGTGCTGAGGGAGTCTGCAGCAGCACCTACATCTGATGTACATTTTAATTAAAAATGTTACGTGAATAAATTCAGATGTACCAATTAAACCAAATACCTCCTAAAGAAAATATCTGCCCCATTGTTACCCTCCCCAGTTATGCCTCAGAAACTCCTGCTGTTCCTATGATCCCTCCCCTTCAGCATTCTTACTCCATTCTGTCACTGCCATCACCGTTGATCTGTACCACACAGTCCTTGTTCAAAGACTCTTTTGAGTGGGCCGTGTCAAAGTGCTGGGTGTTTACCATGTATCTCCCTCGAGCGTCCAGCCCCAAGGCGGGGACAAAGCGACGGTCAAACTGGATTTCTTGGCGCAGGTAAGAGGTCCTCTTCTGGCAGGAGTCACCAGTTCCCTCCTGCAAGGCTGACAGGAATACCACTAATTCAAAGTGGTTGGACATGCCCTCACACAGGGCAGGGTAGAGTGGGCTGCGGCGGTCCAGGGGATGGTAAAAGGTGAGGGGAAAGATGAAGAAGGGACAGGGCTGTTGGCCCAGATGATCCAAGTGGAAGTCCAGAGAGGTCTGGTGCAAAGCCTGACCTTCATGCTCCTCATAGAGCACAGCACTCACCTTCACATCCACCAGTGGTCGCTGCAGTAGGTTGGTGGCTCGTAGCATGAGGCACGTCTGGCCTTGGTGTTGGCCCACCACTGCCTGGGGGCTGAACTGGATGGCTCCTGCTCGCTTCTGGGGACGTGCAATCTTGGCTACAAATGCACCTGAAGGTTATGACAATGAGACTTTAATGTCATATGATGATCTCATGCTGCTTTACAGTAAATTACAGCTAAAGAAATCAGATTCTGACAAAAGCAGCAGAGGTAAAACCACAAAATGTTCTAGAGGCATACATGTAACTAAGTAATTTTAAAACATGACATGTCAGAAGTCCAATTTATAATATGGTTCCGTCATTGTTTTTTGATTTGTCTCTGCCTGCAGCTAATAGATAAAAGTGTTATAAATTGTAGTCAAAAGAAGTCAGAAGAAAGACCAAGAAAGATTATACTTAATTCATGCTGTGCCTTCATGTATACTATAGTAATTATAGCAGTCAGATAAACGTAATGTAGTAGTAAGTGCAATATTCAGAAACTCTGAAATGTAGTGAATCAGAAACATACAGTACTGTGCAAAAGTTTTTGGCAGGTATGGAAAAAATGCTGTAAAGTAAGAACCCACCCATCCATCCAGTTGTCATGCTGCAGATTAAACTTGGGGCCAATCGATTGTGAACGGAAGTAAGCATGATGTGTCACATCTGGAAACCTAAATCTGCCTTGAAATATCTGCCTGGGAGAGACCTTGCTGATGCAGGATAACTACCTTGTGTCGTGTTGCTGTGCTCAGGCTTGCCATGGTGTATGGCTTTTGACAGTAAACTGAGTTTGACTGTTCCTCACCCAGTTGTATTCCTCCACACAGCTGTTTCTGTTTTCACTTAATGATTGTTTTTTAACCTACATATGGAATTGGTGATCATTGGCTCCTGGTGTTATGCCTACAAAATCCCTGAATTTATGCAGGTGTACCTAGAAGAATGTATGCTGTTTTGACACAAAATATTGATCTTTGATTTTTTTTTTTTCTGTTCACTCACTTTTACTGCATTTTGTTAACTGATAAATATAATCTATTAACGGGTATTTTTGAAAGCATTCTTACTTCACGGCATTTTTTCCACACCTCACTAAAATTTTGCACAGTACTGTAAATAATAAGAAGTACAGTCCTCGAGTGAATGTATCCAGTTACTTTCAACCACTGTTCTGATGACAAGGGGTGTGCATTATTATCAGATCTGCAACAGTATTTATCAGCAGAGCTGTAAAAGCGGTCAGTTGCTGTAATACATTCTTTACTGAACAAAATATAAAAAAAATGACAGCTTTAAGAATACGTTTATAATCACTCACTGTGTCATCATAGTCTAGGGTTTGAGCCTTCTGTGTAAAATGCTATACCAAGGGTCGTCCAGCAGATGTCACATTTTGTCTGTGTCAAAAGCTTTGAATAAAAGCTTTCATTAAATTATTTTACAGAACATTAAGGCTGCAAACAACTAGGGCTGCCCCCCAATAGTTGAGTAAACCATTGTCGTCGAAAAGCTGTGTTTGTTTACCACACTAGCAGAGGAAATCTGGACCGCTGGGTAGGCCAGCGTGACAACAGTGGCTCAACAAGACAGGTCTTTTCATGTGCCTTGTAAAATGTATGTTTTAAAGGCTCATTATTACGGTTTTGTATTTCTCTGTAATGTAGCACAGTGTTAATAATGTTAAAGATAACATTCTTTCTCAGCCCTGGAAGTGGAATTAATTAAATTAATATCATAAATGTGCAATGACCAGTCGACTAATGGCTTGAACTAATGACTACTAGTCGAACAGGATATTCTTTAGGCAGGATAGCCCTACAAACCACCTATAATGAATTACTTTCTTAATGTAAAAGGCTCACCTGTTGTGAATATGTAAATTTTTAGTCAATGGATTTTAACATTTTTAACCAATACGGTAATTATCTTCAGATTTCGCTCTAAATGTGTCCTTTGAGACACATTTGAGACTGTGACTTCAGAGTTTGTGAGAAGGCTTTAGGAATAGGTGAGTTGTACCTGTGATGAATGCTTCCAGCATGAGCCCCAGCAACATCTGCACAGCCAGCAGTGCTATGGCACTAGGACAGTCCCCACTGGGGAACATGGTGCCATACCCAATGGTCAGCTGTGTTTCCAGGGAGAAAGAAAAAGCAGCAGTGAAGCTGGTAATATGCTTCACACAAACCACATGCCCCTGTGGGGGGGCATCATGGTCCTGCACAGCCAGGTCTCCGTTGAGGTGAGCGAGCAAGTACCACAGGCAGGCAAACAGCAGCCAGTGGGCCAGGAAGGAGGCGCAGAAGGCCAGCAGGACCCATCTCCAGCGCAGACCCACCAACAGTCCCCACAGGTCCTGCAGGGCCAGAAGCCAGGCTCTGCCCGAGGCCCCGCGCCATGAGCCTGAAGGGCATAGAGGGGGACGAAGGGCACAGTGTCCGTCTTTGGTGACCAGACGTTGGCGGGGTGGAGAGGACAAGAGAGGAGAGGAGGAGGCCTTGCCACCCAGAACCCCACTGTTGGATTTGGTTGTCATGGTTGCAGGTGGATCTCAAGCAGAGTAAGTCAAAGTGAGGATGATCCTGAAATAATAAAAAACCCAGCTCAGAGCTCAAACCTGGCAAGGAGGACAGGACTCTTTAGGTGATGTAACTGTTGCCAACTGTTGTTGGTCAAAAAATAGATCCAATGTTACCTGCTAAAACTGCATCAACATCCAGACTATAATATCTAGACAACTTTTGGATGGATTGCCATGATGATTTGTACAGACATTCCAGACAATAAATCTTATTAACTTTGGTGATCCCCTGACTTTTCCTCTAGTCACAAGGTTGACATTTGTGGTTTGAGTGAAATGTCTGAACAGCTATTGGATGGATTTGATGAAATGTGATTCAGACCTTCATGTTCCCCTCAGGATGAACTGTAATAACTTTGGTGATCCTCTGACTTTTTATCTAGTGTCATCATCAGATCAACATGTTAATGTGTTCAATACTTTGGTTTATGACCAAATGCCTGCAGAGCTAATGACATTCCCATCAGGTTCAGCTGTACCCTGTGTTTACTGCTGATTAGCTAACGTTTGCATCCTATCATGCTAAACTAAGGTGGTGAAAATGATAAACATTATCTGCTAAACATCAGCATGTTAACAATGTCATTGTGAGGATGTTTGCATCACGACAACAGCATTCAGCTCAAAATACTGTTGTGCTTTGCTGAGCCATTAGCATGTCTGTAGATGCTTAGTCTTGTTACTTTTATCTGCCACTCAAATGTTACTCTTAACCGTTTGAAAAATACACACACGTAGAAAAACCAAGATGAAAAATGGGCAGAATGCATATACATGCAACTAAAAGGATGAACCCTTTCCATTTTGACAGGTTTCCTTTGAAACAACGCTCAGGAAAATTTTCAGCTTTGCACACAATAAATCATATATATTGACATTATATATTGTCATTAAATGATGAGTGCATTATTGCAGAGATGGAAAAAAGTCATAGCGTCAAGTCTTGGCTGTTACGTCAAGACTTACAAGTCCCATGTCAAATCCGAATTTTAAACTTTAAGCCCTGAAGAAATGTCATTTTAAAAATTACTAACAGCACTAAAGCTGTTTAAATGTTTATTTATTACTTCAAGTCATGAATTATTGGTGTTTAAGTCAAAGTTTAAACCTCTGCATTTATGACCATCAGATTCTAGTGAATTATTGGCCACTACTGTAGCAGCACCAAAAGGACAAACAGTTTCAGCCTCACTTCAAGACTTTTAGACTTATTTCATTTTCGATAGCTCTAGTTTAGCATTTATGTTTAGCTAAGCTATTCTAAACAAGTCTTGGATGGAAAGAGATCATTGGTATCCATCTTTTCATTTAAGACATTTCCCGCAATGCTGAACTGTTCCTTTAAATCCCAAGTTTAAGCTGCATCTACAGAATGACCATGTACCTCATTTAAACAGGACATATGTGTAGAGAAACTTTGAGCACCAGATGTATGTGAAGGCTGTCCTGACAGGCAGACAGCTAGAGTCCTGTCCTCGTCAGAGTTTCTATTTCTATGTCAATATTGTTGCCAGGAGATTAGAGCAGGTCCCAGCTGGGAATCTGTCTGAGGAACACAGCGACATGCAGAGTAGGAATGTGTCTTTCATCTGGGGGAGCTTTAAACTTACTGCACTGCATGGCTCTCCACTTTTCTTGTTCACCAATTACAATATACATTTACCATCATTTTATGCATGCATCTATTATGCACTTGCAACTTCTTTTAATGCATTTGCTGTGACCTGCGTATATCTTTAAAATACAAAAATCAGGGAGAGTAAGAGATTTAACTTTGGAACAAAACCATAATTCCATTGTAAGGGGAATGGGAAGTGACATTACAATTTTTGAATAATGTTTGATAACATCATACAGTAGCATTGTTTCTTTAAAAATTCAAATGAAAATATACTGGGTTTGGGTTCAGTTACTATCAAATAAAAAATCTTCAGGTAGTTCAGTAGTTGTCATAAAATAAGGAAAGCATAACAGACATCAGACCACTTTCTGTGTTCATCTGTGAAGCAGACACCAAACAAGTGAAGACTTCTCTGAGACATAATATGAAGTAACAGCAGGGTAATAAGGAGTTTGTCTGCTGAATGTGTAGTTGATTTTGTTAAGAAGTTTGTCTTTGTGCTGAGGCTGGGGAAACAGCAGCTTGATAACAGTCACATGAGAGCCATGTGCTGGCTGAGTCTTCATTGTACTGCATCTCAGTCTGTCAGAGCTGTCCCTGGATCAGTCAGTCACCACACTGGCCATTAAAGCAAAACCCACTATTCATACAACGCTTCCTGTGTTTGTGAGATGTCAATATTAATCTCATGTCCGTGTGTTAAGTGCAGAGCTGGAGTCAGGACATGGTATGGTTAGCTTAGCATTAAGACTGGAGGGGTGAACAGCTAGCCTGCCTCCGTCCAAAGTTCAAAAACACGCATACCAACACCTCTAAAGCTCACTGATTAACATGTAGTATCTTGTTTGTTGATTCTGCACACAAACAGAAATGTGTGGTTTTAGGTCAGGTTACATGCTGACGCTATTTCTTGAAGAAAAACTGTTGATCTATCTGCCCAACACTTGTGTTCAGAATCTCCCGCTATAGGATGGGCATGATACCAAACATACAACCCCACTGTTACAAGAAGACTTAAGGAAGCTGCACACAGTCGCTGTGACAGGCTGTTTCTCCATACTAAATGGTTTAAATTAAACTAAACTAAAATCAAACGTGTTGGTAGGTGTATTTTTTCAGTTTGGACAGGGCCAGACTAACTGTTTCCCCCCTGCTCTAAGTCGTTATGCTAAGCTAGGCTAACCATGTCCTGACTCTGTCTCTGTACTGAACACACAAACATGAGATTGATATACATCTTCTCATCTCCTTTAAGCTTCCAAAACATCTGAATTAGTATTTCCTCTTTGCTGTTTAACAGGGTCCTTTGTTAGTTTTGGCAATTCAATAATGAAAATGGAAATTTGGAGGGCGTGTTAATGTATTTGAAGTCTGAGGTCAAGAATTTTTTAAGTCTTGGAATATAATGTAAACAAGTGAAGATAAACAGTACAATAAATGCACTGGTCTATTACAACAAGTATGGGATAATTTTATGGAAAAGCTAAACAAATATATAAAGTGTCACATCATACAACGTACAATGTCCAATTTAATGCTTTGTAAAAACTTACAATATGTATTACAGTATATATCTTCCATGTTTATGGGCACTTGTTTATGGTAGTTCAGTACCAAATACTTCAAATATAAGGTAGTTAGGTAGTTTATCTATAGGATGAATTTATCAATAACAAGAAAGTATAATATGTCACTTACATCTGTTTTTATGGCAAAGCATGTATATAACACATAAACATGTTGTAGTATAGTATAAAACATTTTGCATATAAAACGGTTGTCATATATCAGTGAGTATAAAGTTATATGACACTTGTATAAAAGTGGCCAATACTAAATTATATAACTATACTATTGTACTGTATGTTCACATACAAAGCCTTTACTGTAAGTGCACATTTTGCAACATATATGGTTCTTTTAATGGCTTAAATTGTAATGCTTTTCATGATTTGTTCTAATATAATACAAGCCACTGAGTGAACTCAAGACAAATACTGTCTGTCCTGTTGAGGAGTTAGCTGATGATCACTGTCTCCCAAAAACTCTGGAATACATTACTGAATTAATCTGCAGAATGTGTTGTAGATGAAACATAATTTCTGCCTGGGTTATGTTCACTGGCGAAAGATTTTGGACATTTCTGGTTCTAGAAGTGCTATATTCATGTTGGACACAGAAGGGAGGTGGTCCGGGTTGGATGATCATACACTGGAGACAGGGGTTTGTGGTCAAGTGTCCGGCGTATGGTAAAGTTCAGGCTACAAAAACATTTTGGTTGGGGAAAGATGGTTGTTCAGATGAAAAAGTAATATATTTTGCTTCAGGTCAACGGTGACTTTCTCAATATTTAACCATGACCACTATCTTTCCATACCCTTAACCAATAAGAAAATGTTGTAGGGAAACAAATATAAAAATATAGATATTTAGAATGATATTACAATTATAACTTAAACTTAAAACTTTTAAGATAAATGTGACTTTGCAGGCATGTTCATTAAAAATGTTTGCCTCCTCATTCATTATGTTCATTATGGCATTATGTTCCTTTACAAACAAATTTGTGCAAATGCGTAGGTGGTATATACACTGAAATCAGGATAGTGATAAGGACATAGATCAATCTGCAGTGTGTGTATGGTGCCTGTTATTAACCCTAAAGCTTTAATACACTCACACATTTCACCCTGTTTTTATATTTCTGCTAGATGAAGTTGAAGTCTCTGCAGAGTCATGGAAATGCAGCACGTGCATTATGCTGCTTGAAATATGTGTGTTTCACTGAGTTTAGTTAGTTAGTTATTTTTCAACTCATATCTATTTTTATTAATGATTACAATCAGAAAAAAGTCCATATTCTCGAGTACTCTACTTAGGTATAAGTCTTAATCATGGATGCCATGGGGAACTGTTCCTTTATGTCTTTGTTTAATTCACATGTGCATATTTTGATACTTGACTACATGTAACTTTGAACACATCCTCATTTTTATTTAAGTAAATGTCTGAATCCAGAGATTTAGAAATGTTTTCCTCCCTGTGAGTTGTTCAAATGTATGACTATGCTAACAAACAACACTTTGTGGAACTAATGTGAGAAGCGTGAAGTCCCTGAGGCTGGTGGAATATTTAGAATGCAGTCATCTCCTAGTAATGATGGCTACGCGTGATGGTGCCTAGTCAGCCATTTTCCCATCTACAAGCTATCTGTGCTAACGTACAAGTAACGAATATGACTTAGTGGAAAAGTCTCTTTATCTCCAACTCAGAGGGGTGCAGAGGGGTTTATGTAACATTCAGTCTGCAGCTGTTCTCTTCTGCTATTCCCTGTTAACACAACTTTATCGCACAACATTAATGTGTGAAATAGAAAAACTAATCTGTGTGACCATCTAGTGACAAAAAAACTTGACTTGACTTTCACATGCCCTTGTGTGGTTATCTACAATCTGGACTACCCACAGTCACTTTACCAACTCTGGGTTTTAGAAATGATAAAAACAGTTAGGAAAGTATTTCATTATAATTAACAAATAACTATAAAGTGCACATAATTGATGTCATCTGACAAATCATGTTTTGTAGTATGGATTCAACAAGCTGCATTATCTCAGGTTCCTTAAAAGAGCACCAGCACTGATCAGATCACAGTTGATCACTCACTCATTGTCCTGGTATCAGGGCCTTAGCTCTGTCCAGCATCACAAGCTGGAGTTTGTACTCACCTAGAGCTGCAGTCAGGGCTAAACAGGGGCCCTCTGACCTTTTCACCTAAGAACTGGTCTGTGGTCTGCCAAGTGGGCAAAGGGGCCGAGGCAGAAGGAAATAGTGCCACTAGTTCCTTGGAGGACGGGGTATAAAATCCCAGAGGAGTCCCAAAGAGAAACTGATAGTGTCACCCCAGAGAGTTTTTCTCGGTGTGGGAGCCGGACTGAGCGCGGCGCTCTCTGCTCCTCCGATCTGCAGCTTCCAGCTCCAGGGCGAGGATGATTCAATTGGTCACATTACTCTGCATGGAGCCTATTAGTGTTCCCGGAAGACAGACGACAGAGGGAGGGGGGAAAAGAACAACACCTTGTCAAAGTTCATTCAAAGAGTTGCTTGTTGCTGGTTGGTGTCCCGCAGCTGCTGCTGCGAGAAATTGGGTTTGCTGATAAGTTAGTGCATCTGTGTGTGTAAAAGTGTGTGCATACATCTGTATCTGTGTCTACATCTTTTGTCCCCATATGAAATAATAACAACTTATGGAGAGAAAGATTTACATTTAATGGTAATATTGGGTGTGTTTTGTGCATCATTTAATTTTCCTAAAGTCTGGCATTTGGTGTCTTTGGAAAAATTTGGCATCTCCACTGGGATTTCAAATAAACTTCTGTGGGTTTGGACTATGCTTGGATGCACGACGTGGTTTAAAATATGGGGCACTGGTTTACCAACCTCATTCATTAACAACTGCCACGTTACTCCATCACTATGTGACCTCAGATTAGTTAATATATTAACCAAGGAGTCACAGAGAGCTTCTTTGCTGGTGTCAAAACAATAGTAGAGCCACATGACTGGAGGTTAAAAGTCAACACTGGTATTTGACCCTCGAGCTGCAAGGTCAGCATGTTAGTAAGTGTGTCAGTTCGTCCAAAATGTTGCTGTAAAGCAGAATTGACATGAAAGCCATTGTCCAAGGATGTTTCTTAAAGGATCATTTTGGTTTATTTTTGTAGTTTTGTTCTTAATCACTGATTTAGATCATCTGGATCAGCTGTTGGATTGTTTACAATCTGTCTGATCGTCTGCCCCATCAGACTTTGATGTACCCATGTTGCCTTGTTCCCAGATCCAAGCAATTACTTTGGTGTGTACAGTGGTAACATAACTGATTTAAATGTCACACAAAACTATGAAAATAATATCCTTTATAATGTTTTTAGGTGATCCCCTGGCTTTCCCCTTGCTCCACAGTCTGATCAAAACATTCCACATTCCAAAATAAATATCAAGATCTAATGGACAGTTTGACATGACATTTACTGAATAATTTAATTTTTTTTTTAATAGCACTTTTTTAAGCTATGCGCAGTGCTTTCAATAGATGACATGAAAAGAATACAACTTCATATTCACATAAACTAACTAAACTAAACTTATAAACTAAAAATCAGGTGGTCAGGTGGAGCTGTATTATCTAAATGAATTTGTCAGGCCAAAAGGCAAGTCTGTAAAAATGTGTCTTAAGACAAGATTTTAAAGCATAAACAGTGTCAGCAGATCGAATACTAACTGGAAGCCTAACTGGAAGTGACAGTACAGCAAACGCACAATCCTCCTTTGACCTTAACCTGGACTCTGGAACAGCTAGCAGGCCTAACCCAGCAGATCTGAGAAGACTTGTTGGGCAGTAAGGAGTTAAAGTTAAAGAGTTCACTGATGTACTTTAGCACCTGACCATGTAAAGCCTTGTAAGTCATGAGTAAGTTTTTAAAATGGATTCTAAAAGAAATTGCTAACCAAAAAGAAAAGAGGTCCTTGTCAGAAGCCTGGATGTAGTTCTACACAGTGTGAAGCTGAGCTATATCTTGGGCACTGAAGCAGGTATATCAGGCGTTACAATAGTCCAGGTGGGAGGGGAGAAAAGCATGAATAGTAGGGCTGACTAAGGATTTATGTAGTCAAATCAGAATTGTGGAATCATCTGTGTGTTTTTGCAGCGGCCAGGGGGAAGGGTTACACACTGTTAGATCTATTTTAATCTTGAGGAGCTGCAGAGTCATTCACCGATCTTGTGCTGAGTTTTGCCTGTATGGCCGCCAACAATTGCATGCACGTTGCGGTTCCTCACAGGTCTATTCCAAGTACTGTTTAAAAACATAATGTTCTTTGTGTTGTTTTATCAATGGTGATAAATGATTAAAACGTTCCCCGAGGTGCACAACAACTCAGCACTGACACAGCTGGTGCTGTCTCTCTCCCTCTTATCATTCAGTTTATGACACAGACACACATTCACTCACACACACGCTACGCTCATACATGCACACTACACCCCTTCCTTAAGGGTTATAATTTTGAATTTATTCCTACACAGATTTATTAAAAGCTTCTTTCTTTTCACATTTTTATTTACAGCATAATTTGTTGATATTTATATCATAATAGGCTGTACATTAACTTATTTGGAGAAAACTGGTAGTTCTATGTAAAATAAGACATTGAGCACCCTTAATAGCCAAAATTGCATTGCTCTCCCTGCTTGTGTGTACATTTGCTCTGCTTCTGCTCAACCCGTGTGCTTTCACTCAGACATGCTGTTGCTTACATGGACTTTCAGCTTCAGTCATTCTCCTTAAACTCAGGCTGCTTCTGTGCGCATCTACTCTCAGATTTCTGCTCTGCTATGTGATTTTCTGTGCAATAACACTGTCAAAATCTCTCAACCAACAGAATGCCAGGTGTAGGGTTGACAAATGAAAGTATTCCTGAGGTTTGCCATGTCAGCGTTTTTCAATACAGAAGTGAGTCAAGTTTAACAGTCAGGAGTCATTGGGGAGACGACTGAAAGACTTGCTAATGCAGTGTCACAGCCTGGCTCAAGGGCCATGACAAAAGAGGGAACAAGGCACCATAAAGGATCAAAAAATGATTTATTTACCAAAAGAGTGGACTAAACATAACTATTTAAATGTGCAAGGTTTGTCTCCGTAACATAATTAAACCCAAGGCAAGACGTAGCAGTCGGGGTGATCAGGCCACACACAGTACGTCTGGATTGCAGAGAAGAGAGAAGAGAAAGTAGTTTGACCAAGTGGTGCTTTATTTGGCTCACAGGTCCCAGGTGCCTCCGATCAGCAATCACCTCAACAGAACAAAGATGGTTAACGACAGTGAGGTTGGATCACTGGATCACACAGGGGCCGTCACAGCGGTCACACGATATGTGAGACGTGGGACGAAATGATTGGTTGACTGTCTTTTATAATAAATTATATTTAACTGTAAATCTCTCAATTTGATTTGATTTACATTTAAGGCTGATCTAAATAGGTCTGAAAAAAAATCCAAATGTATAGAATAACAAATGTATAAGAATAACAAACTATTTAAATTGAAGTTGTTTCTTTCATCCCGACTAGTCTCAAATTGTAAGACCGATGAATAACGATAAGAAAATAATCCCAAAAATGTAGGGCAATTTTTAGATTGATCTAAAGTTAGTAAAACTAATGGATCAAGGCCAGTTCTTTTTAGCAGTGGCTGAACACAGGCTATTTTAAAATAATCTGGGACACATTCAGAGCAAAGGGAGCTTTAACATTTGGAGCAGACTACGGCCTGTTTCCTCCATTATTCTCTGAACAATTTAGTTGGAATGATATCCAGATGACTGGATAAGGGTGTCATGTGGGACACAGTGTTGGTGAGAGTTTCCATATCGTGTTTTAATTTTATCATCGATCATCATCATAAAAATGAGGATGATGACTTCAAATCAAACAGTTGCCGGTTAGTCTGACAGAGTGAATCATTTATGTGTAGGTCATTTGTGTGATTGACGGCCCCTCTTACCCCCCTGTTGTCCTGTAGTGGTCTGACTGGTTCCAGTAGAGGTGGCAGATGACAGTGTCAGAGTAGGAGGCATTGTAGCTGCCTTCATTCTCTCTCATTAGTCTGAAGAGTGAGCAATGGTTCATTCACCTACTGCTGGGAAATGTGTCCCTTCACTGTTCCACTCTCTCACTCACACCCTCTCTCTTTTGTTTTGTATTTTCTTGTATTATTTTCTCCAAGGGCACATCAGAGGTTTGAAACAGCTTATGCACATATGAGAACAGGAGACTACCTGTTCACTTTGGTGTTTCATGTTTTTTTTCTTTACTCAAAATCTCTCTTTCCTTCTTGTCCACCCTCTCACTCAGCTAAATCATTTCATTTTCTCTTATATTTTACTCAAATATTAATGGCACATTCATTGATTTTTTGGCCACTTGGGGGCAGTAGAACAAGATGAAAACACAACATATAAAGTTATCAGTGTAAACACATGTTAACGCCATTTATCTGCCGCTCAGAGTCTATATTGTTTACATTGCAGTCATTTCACATAAAAAGGGTTATTTACATGTAAATACAGCACAGCAACTGTTGGTGTTTAGTGTGCATAGAGAGATGGTAATAGATGGCCAAATTGGGCAGATGTGTTTGATAGATTCTCAGGTGAGTGAAGCATGTCAAGTGTGTATGCAAAAAGTGCCGATCAAGCTGATTGCAGGAACTAGCTCGCAGGAGTCACTCCATTGTGGAGTATGTAATATTTGTGGCGATTCAGCCTAATTAATAATAAGAAACAGATGGGAATGTTTATTTATTTATCAATTATTATAATTTTTTTTATTTTACATTAACTGTCAGTGGTTAGGGGCAGCACGAGAGCACTGACGGGTGAAATGTCATTAACACTGCATGTCCGCTAAAGTGTTTGTTTTTTGTTTTACGTGTCACAACATTATGGAAAGGACCCCTACTGAGAAAGATGTTTTTTCAAAGAGTAAAAGAGAAATTTTTTTTGTTCAATCAGAAACGGTCACTATATGGTTCTCATCAGAGCCACCAGACTCCCCTGACAGAAACTGTAATATTACCTCTCTTGTCTAATGCTGCCTTGATCAGTTAGTTTGTGTTATTGTGTGACTTTGGTGTTTTTTACCCTTTAAAACGTAAACCACGTGAACCAAAGTCACACAATAACAGAAACAAGCAATGGGAGACAGGTTTTAATTAAGGGATTCTGGTGACTTGATGAGCAATATAATAAAAACTGATCTTATTCTTATAAACAAAAGGTCTAACTTTGGACGGACACTTTCCATACTATTGTCAGACACTAGTAACAATCTGAGCCTGTCAGAGGCAAAAACAAGCACTTTGGTGCACATACTCAGAGGGAGGCGCAATTAGCAGCAAGGATTACAGCAGTCCTGTTTGATTGCTGCTAACAGCAACGTACTTGCTGAGTACTGGACGACTTTCAAATTAAAGCAAGCAGCGATGGGCGGCCCCTTGCACATGTAGCGCATCGAGGTGTGAGGCAGCTGCTTTGCAGATTCTGGAGCTCCGCCGGTGCAGCTGTAAATTTGCCATGCATTTCACACAAAGGTGTTAAATCATGGATTTTGGATGCCACGCCACGGGCACGCCACGGGCACGCAGTTCCACGAAAACTCGCCATTTGTACAACTTTTAATAATCAGTGGGATTAGATTAGACAGTGAAA